TGCAAGTGCCACTCCCAGCCCAGACCCACATACCCTTCCAGACATGACCCTCCTTGCACAGTCCCTGTCAGGTCAGACGGAAGATGGCCCCAGGGTGCTCTTGGAAGTCATACACTGAAAATACCAGAGGGTGAGTCTGGGTCTCTGACTGCAGGAGGACCGCCCTGCCAACCCATCCCTGCAAGAAAGTTCTTTAGTGTTCAAGCCATTGTATATTTTTGGGTCTATTTATTTCAGAACTATCATTACCCTAATACAATCACTGCTAAATGGCCATGATACATTTATTCTATAATCGCACATAATTTTATTCACCAAAGGAATGTCCTATTCTCTCAAGATTCTAAATTTTCAGAACAGAAACGATTAGGAAGTCAAAGTTGCTGCAAGGCCAAGGATAAAAACATTGTGAGGTAGTTGCTAAAGTTGTTGGTAGTGTGGTTGTCAAGAGCTGGAGCTCGGGGGTGAGAGACCTGGGCTCACAGCCAGGTTTCCCGCCGTTAGCGGAGTGCTCCCAGTTTCCCCATCTGTACAGTGGAATGCCAGGCAGACCTACACCTCTGTGGAGGTCAGCAAACTATAGCCCACAGGCCAAATCCAGCCCGTGCCATTTATTACAGTCCTCAAGCTAAGACTATTTTTCACATTTTTAAAAACAGGAGTATGCGACAGAAACCTTAATGCGGCCTGCAAAAATACTCACTACCTGAGCAACTTCTTCATGAACGTATCTCCCCAGGCAAGGGAAACAAAAGCAAAAATGAACATGTGGGACTATATCAAACTAAAAGGCTTCTGTACAGCAAAGGATACCATCAATAGAACAATAAGGCATCCTACAGGATGGGAGAGTATATATATTCATAAACAACAGATCTGATAAAGGGTTGACATTCAAAATATATAAAAAGCTCACGCAACTCAACAACCAAAAAGCAAATAACCCAATTAAAAAATGGGCACAGGATCTGAACAGACACTTCTCCGAAGAAGAAATTCAGACGGCCAAGAGGCACATGAAAAGATGCTCCACCTCGCTAGTCATCAAAAAAATGCAAATCAAAACCACAATGAGATATCACCTCACACCAGTAAGGATCGCCACCATCCAAAAAACAAACAACAAATGTTGGTAAGGATGTGGCGAAAGGGGAACCCTTCTACACTCCTGCTGGGAATGTAAATTAGTTCAACCATTGTGGAAAGCAGTATGAAAATTCCTAAAAAAACTCAAAATAAATACCATTTAACCCAGGAATTCCACTTCTAGGAATTTACCCTAAGAATGCAGCAGCCCAGTTTGAAAAAGACATATGCACCCCTATGTTTATCGCAGCACTATGTACAATAGCCAAGAAATGGAAGCAACCGAAGTGTCCATCAGTAGATGAATGGATAAATAGGTGGTACATATACACAATGGAATATTATTCAGCCATAAGAAGGAAACAAATCCTACCATTTGCAACAACATGGATGGAGATAGAGGGTACTATGCCAGGCAGAGAAAGACAAGTACCAAATGATTTCACTCATCTGTGAAGTATAAGAACAAAGAAAAAACTGAAGGAGTAAAATAGCAGCAGACTCACAGAACCCAAGAATGGACTAACAGTTTACCAAAGGGAAAGGGACTGGGGAGGATGGGTGGGGAGGGAAAAGGGAGGAGGAAAAAGAAAGGGGGCATTATGATTAGCATGTATAATGCGTGTGGGGGCACAGGGAGGGCTGTGCAACACAGAGAAGACAAGTAGTGATTCTACAGCATCTTATTATGCTGATGGACAGTGACTGCAATAGAGTATGTGGGGGGAACTTGGTGATGGGGGGAGTCTAGTAAACATAATGTTCCTCATGTAATTGTACATTAATGATACCAAAATATAAATAAAGTAATGCTAAATATCAAAAAAAAAGAAAAAAGAAAATCCATTTGCTGTAACACCAATTCTTGCAGATTATTTTTTCACAACTGAATGGCTTTAGAACATTTGAGAAAAAAATTAATTTTCCATTTATAGATAAAAAAATTTCACTATCTGGCCCTGCTTTCTAGGGCTGCTGCGAGGATTACGAACAGTATAGGCCAGTACTGGCTCAAGGCTAGCACACAACAGAGTAATACATGCAGCAGAGCTACTGATGTCTCCAGAAATACACTGCCCACAGCCACATTCTGCATTCGTGAACATTCTCTCCTTCCCTCCAAAACACAAATGAAAAACAAGAGCTACATCTTGATGATTATGGCCACAAGATACTTTTACATCCGAAGGTTGCTGGTAGTCCAATTTCACTCGGCCAGAATATGGACTATGGACTCAGGGAAACAAAGAGCTTCCCTTTCTAGCAAAGGGACTTGATGATAATCAGAAGAAAGCCTTAGAACATGAACTGCATTTAGTACGTCAGGAAGGACTGAGACATTTTAAAATTAGAACAAGACTTGAAGTAGATGGTATAAAACAAAACTGATTAAGCAAAAATATTAATGCTGCTTTTTGCAATAAAACAATTTTGCCGTGTAAATGCATTTCTAATTGAGATGTTACAAGTTTCAGGCAGAGAAAATATAAAGCCAACCTTTCAAAATGAGATTCGATGGCTAATGTTTTCAAATGAGATGTGTAGCAAAACCGGTCTGACAATAAGGTGGACTAGTTTTGGACATAACTGCCGTCTCTCCCAAAGTACCCCTGCAAATGCTGGACCTCACGGATGCTGTGTGTGCGTGTGTTGGGGGAGGGAAGTTCTAAGGTCTACAAAGTTAGCGAGACACGGCACACAACACTCTCCTCTTGGAAAGTCATGATGCACAGCAGTACATATTACAGGCTTTGAGAAACGCTGCAGTGTAGGAAGCTGGTGACTGCTCAGCCCATGACCTCTCCCTTCCACAGTGCGTGGGAACCTCAGGGAGAGCCGGTGCTCTTCAGGGCAATCTGGAGGCGTCGCATGTCTTGCGGCATGAAGTCAGCGTTGACAGCACACCGGGACTGGGTTCCCATCAGCACTCGCATTTCTCATTTTACAACATAATATAAAAGCTGCAACCTTCGCATTATAACCACATAGTCCAGATTACTAGTCAGATTTTAAAATTATAATGTTGGGCAGGGAAATCACTGCATAAACGTACCCTGTTCACTCACCAATGTTAAGCAGAATTCAGAAGGGCAAATTTTTGCACATTTTGATCAGAAGAGACGTGAGGGACAGTCTGCTGCTGTCATGGCTGGGCTTTCCGCTCTGGAACGAAACTGGGCAGGCCATTTGTGCGGTTTCTCTGGATAAGTTCCATTTATTAATCATTGTACAAAAAATTCTTGGCATTCATTTGAAGAGAAAAGAAGTTACTATATCCAAATATTTAGTATTTTAACACTGTGAAAGTTCTACTTTTATAACAGGGCTTTTAAAATGGAGAAAACTTTTGGAAAAATTTTAAAAAGAAACTTATGATTTATTAGAGTACAGGATCCAAAACACATTTTTAGAAAAATATAAAGTGCCCAAATACCAACTTACACAGGTGACACAGACCTCCTGGAGCCACACAAAGCATTCATGAAGAAAACACACTTAGAAACAGTCTAGATACATATTTACATTGGGTCAGTCAAGGTAAAACTATTTTTCTTGGCTTTGATGTTACTCTAAGAAAGAAAATCAAACCAGAGAACCAATTTGAACTCTCAGCATGCGCCAGTTTCTTAGTAATGCATCTCGTTAGTATTCACTCCATGTTACCTAATTTTCCCCTTTAATGAGTGTAGTGTAAAACCCCCCCACCCTCAGGCAGGCGGGCCCTGTGAGTGGTCACAATTTCAAGTGCAAGTCCGTATCACCTTTTGACTTGACTGACAAGGGACATGGACACTGGACAATAGCTAATTCAAGCTGGAAGGAGCTGGCTGGCCAAATCCCCATCTCTAGTAACTGCTTACAACAGTCATCACTTGCTATTAAGTGGTCTCAGGTGGCTTCCCCAAATCTCAGTCATCCCAGGATTTCCAAAGGGTAAACAAGAGGCAGTCATCAAATATGATGTGAAAATACTACATGCAAATGAACAGGCAGCCCCTAAAGCCTCACTCACTAGAGTAACTGGATTCTTCTAAACTTAGAGAGTAAAATAACTAGGCCCTAACTCTGGAAGTCAGCGTCTACCGCTTACCTACGAGGTTAGCTAGCTCACTTGGGACCTGGCAGGTCAAGGGTGGGGCGTGTCCCAGAGCTACAAGTAGACTTGGAACCTTCCCACTCGGTGACTGAGAACATGGAAGAAAAGCCAGTGGTATCTGAGCATGAAGCCAGACTGCCCCCGTGGAACTTCAGAACAGGCTTCACCCTGGTGCTTGGACTTGAGAAAGCACACATCTCCTTCCCCACTGATCGAACACTCTTAAACTTAAAGAGATTTTATTTACTTCTACCCTACCACAGAAAGGTCTTGAGGTAATTCTAAGGAATGACGAGGCATGAAATCTCCCCTTTTTATAATTTTTAAGAGTGATTATTTCCTTTTTCTGGTCACAAAAGTGAAACTTCATTTTGTAGTCTTTGGAGATCATGGAGCATGGTTTCTAAGAGCAAATGTTTCAACACCAGATTGCACTTCCTATAATAAAGGGAACCAACCCATCACTGATTTAAGATCTAACTGTGATACTGGGGTAGATGTAAATAATTTTAAAGTTAAATGGAATAGCAGACGAATGTGGAAAAACCCACTCAGAAAGCCTATTATTATGTACTTTCTCAAAAAATTTTAGGTAATAAAATAGAAAATTAGTGACTCCTAGAGATGTGAGTGTAAATCCAAGAGAGGAATACGGGAGGAATTCTCCCAATTCAAATAAAGAAAAAGATAAACAACTGAAATCTGCTGCAAATATTAGGGAAAAAAAACCCTCAAACGTCTTAGATTATTGTTAGTTTGTTATAGTGTCTCCATGTTCAAGATGATGCCAGGCTCACTCACAGCTCTAAACTGAAATCTGCTGCAAATATTAGGGAAAAAAAACCCTCAAACGTCTTAGATTATTGTTAGTTTGTTATAGTGTCTCCATGTTCAAGATGATGCCAGGCTCACTCACAGCTCTGCCTCTCAAGAAGCAACTAAGTTCAGGGTAAGAAGACAATCCTGACAGAGGACTGCACATGTCCCACAGAGAAATCAGGCAGAAATTATTGCAAAATGTAACCCCATCTGCCTAGCAAATGAAATGTTTGGAGACAAATACAGACAGACACGATGGAAAGTGAATAAAAAAGAGTGCCGACTGTGAGACCTCATGAGGACAGAATGTCACAAACTGTCACCACAGGACAAGCATACGAGCCATGCCACTGAACACAGTGCCTTTTGCATGAATTCACTAGTGTAGGCGGAGAGCAACACTGTCTTTGCAGCTGGAGGAGAGTGCACACCGTTTAAACTGAGGAGGCGGCAACCCGCACTACTGGGTAGTGGCCTTCCTGGGGGTGGGGATCCAGAGGGTCCATGGAGGCTTCTCCCGGAACCCTGTTCTCTTGGGAGACAGCAGCAGGAAAGGTACAATGTCTCTACTAGACTTTACTCCACGTTCTCTTTCTTTGCACTGTAAATATTCTGCACTGTTTCATAGACCGACTCCAGGTCCTCTGGATATCGAATTTCTAGCTCTGCATTGGGGATGTAGTGAGTGCCAGTAAACTCTGAGAAATAGCGTCCGACATCAGGGTGTGAGATTTCTTGAGGCTCCACATTATATTCCAAGTTTTCTGTTGGTAAAGAGGCACATGGACATTCTCGTTAGAAATGACATTTCCATAGCATCTTTTACCCCAGAGAATTTATCACTCCCTGGAGTAGCATTTTAAGGTGGAGGAAAAGGGAAGATAGATATTTAGGGAATTTGGAGGTGGTAATAGGGAAAAAGCAGCCAGTGACAACTGGGGAAGGGATGGTAGCTGAGTCTCCCAACAGCTCCACACTGAATGGCAGTTTGTCCTATTTGCTGAGCAAGATGTCTGGCTCCAGCCTATCTCCAGAAGTCTCTTTGGGATTGGCAAACCAGAGATTCATCATGTATTTCTGACTTGCTCTAATGGCCGAAAGTTTGCCACAAGGGTATCCTAGCCTGCTCACTTTTCACAAGTGCTTCCACACCATCTGGTTACAACTCGTGTACTTGCCAACCTTGTCTACAAACAGCCACTCCCACAGACCACACTTCTCTATCCAAGTTCCCTTCAACACTGGCTGTGTGCTTCCAGAGGTGAGCACTTCACTGGGCTGCTGAGATCCAGTGGGAGGAATGGACAAGTGGTTCGCCTATCCAGACCCTGTATGGATACAGGTTATCACTACCTGGAGAATCTCCTGGGAAACCATACTACCTCCTCTTCCTGCTATTTTGCTACTAGAGAAAGAGAAAGTAAACTTTGACTCCTTTAAATTGGAATGATTAAAAAAAAAAAGCAGGTAACAATACAAGTGAGGTATTTTGAAGGCTGAAATCCTTTAGGATGGCTTCTCCCCAAAATACTATTGGAAAAATGGCTCCTCCCTGGGCCTAACGTCAGGTCAGGGTCTGGTGTGCAGAGACTGGCATGGGCTTGCCATCCAGAAGCAAACCACATCCGCTATGGCCTCGCACCAGGAGCCGGGCCAGGTGGAAGTCCTTGCTCTAGGTGCCAGTCTCAGCTCTGATCAGTATGACGCCATGCTTTGCACAGCAACACCCCTGACTAATTCAAGTGAGACTCTGCGAGAGCCTCGCCTGCAAGCTAACACCAGCGGGGCAACAGGTTATCCCCACAGCCTGGTTAGACATCCTGAGACGCAAATCCTGGACATTCGGCGTCCCTCCACCCAGAGGCCTTGCGTCTCCCAAGATAAACAGGAGCTCTTTCATAAGCACTGATTTTAACTAATGTTTGTCTTTTGGGAAAGGGGAAGAGTTTTGTAATTCAATCTGTAACTTTTTTACAAGATGGGAGAATTTAAAGAAATTTTGTGCTCACAGCTGTTTCAGGCTATTTCTTTGAACTGTGCTTAGGGATATTAACAGTTTGAGAATCAATACTGCTGAGGAAATTACATACAAACCATGTGCAAGGATAAACGTTTGGAGATTATTATAACATTACTTACATTAGCAAGCATGTAAAAACAGTCCAAATGTCCAACTGCAGGTCACCTGTTTTCAAGATGTCACAAGGGAAGTGGAGTAAAGCTACACGTTCAGCTGAAAAGGCCTGGAAGGCACATGTCAGGGCCGCTATGTCACTTGGCACAGGTGCACATTCTAAGTGGTTGTTTTTAAATTGGGCACTTATGACATGCCTGGCACCGCGGTACCCATATAGTTTCGGTCCCCGGTGCTCACACCCCTCCACAAGGAGCTTGCTGTGATGCTCTCTTTGGCAGCTGAGTAACCGGGCACTGACCAAAGCACTGCCCAAGGACTCACCTGGGCCCCAAAGCTGGAGGGAACCAGACGTAAGAGCCCCACGAGAGAGCAAGGGCAAGGACACCGGGGGGCAGAGCCGCAGGCTCCAGTGACGGGATGCACACACAGGTGTGTGGCTTTCAGATAGGAAACAGCACGGTCCACTAATTCTGATCCTCTCCACTGTTACCACTACATCTTGGTAATGATTTTATCCCTTCTTTGTTTTACATTTTTCTAAAATTGTCATTGGAAAAATAAATGTAAAAAAGCCCTCAAATGCTTTAAAAATGCCACTGGCTGAGAAAACGCCCTTTCCTGCCCACCTGCCTCTGCCGCTCCTTCCCCAGTGAGTGAAGCCCCACAAACATTATCTTCCTTGAAGTAACCATGGCCTGGGCCTTCACCAGGCCAGCTGCTGAGGGCCCCAGGCTTCTCCCAGAGGAACACAGACATGTTGGAGGGAGGGTCAAGACCCTGGGGGATGCCACCAAGTGGCAAGGGCCCCTTTGCTGTGAAGGAACCACTCTTAGCTGTCGTGGTAGGCACATCAGACATTTCAAGTGAAAAGGACTCACGTGGGTCATTTAGAACTGCTCTGCTGCCAGTGTGTCAAGAGTAGTCATTCTCAACCAAGGCGATTTTGCCCGACAGGATATTCTGCAATATCTGAAGGCATTTTGAGTTGTCACATAAGGGCTGCTTATGAGCATCTAATGAGCAGAGGCCAGGACACTGCTCAACAAAATGCACAGCACGGCCCCCCCACCCCAAGAGCCACCCAGACCGAAATGTCAACAGCACCTGCTCTAAAAAATCTCAGACATACTTCTTAGCATTGTTTCTCCTCCCTTTCTCTTTTTCTTTCTATGTATTAAGTTGCAGCTTCTGAATGTTGAGAGGAGAGCAGAAAGACCAAAGTTAGGTTATCATGGTTCTGGAAGGACCATGCCCAGAATTTCGAACAGTGGGCCCAAAATGAGGTATGGCAAGTATAGGCAGGGAGCTGAGGAAACCACGTAAGGGCTAGGTAACAGTCCAAAGCATGCTCGCAGCCCTACTCCTGGCTGTTAAGGAGGCACATGGACTGGATTTAGCGCATTTACCTGCCTGGGCTCCCAGCAAAATGGGAAAGACAGTGAAGTCAGCAACTACGCATTAAAAGGGAAAAATAAGTAACACTAAATAAGGTTTTAAAAAACTTGAAAAGGAATGAAAAATCTAAGTGATACAAAACTCAACCAAGAAAAATAATGAAATAGGGACTACTTAAAAGTCCTAGAAAAATCTTGAGCAGTCTTTCTTAAATTCCTTTGAAAATTTCAAAAAGATAAGTCTGCTTACATGTTCAGATACCCAAAGATGTATGGCTACACTCCTGTACAACCAGGGAAACACCACGAAGGAGTCCTCTGTGGGTACCTGTCTTGTCCTGGTCCCCTCCCCCCATCTCCAAGAGGAAACCACTATCAGTGTGAGTGGATCTTTCCAGTCCTTCTGTGAATATACATGTAGTAGCTAAATACAGCTATATGCACATCAAGAAAATCTGGAATTGTTTTATGTGTTTATTTATATAAAACATACTGTAAGCATTTACCTATAACTGGTCTAATTTCAGCTTAGTATTCCACAGTGTGTGGATATACCCAATATAGTGGGCGCCTTTGTGAAAGACACTGTTCGCTATTATAACAAGGAGACCACAGGACCCTTGCATGAGCCTTTGTCTCTAATGGAGGGATGGAGGGGTGAACTGCTAGGTCAGGAGAGTAAGCACTTGAGACTTCTCTATTTATAAGAGTTAAACCACCCTCTGAACTGGCTGAAAACTTTATTCCACCCCGTAGAGGGAATCCTCACACCCTTGCCAGCATGCACAGATGGTGAGAGGGTGTGTGGGGTGTATGGGTGGAAATTTCTCTGGAAGTATAAGACACATTACGTAAAAGGGAACCAACATTTGATGAGGGCATACCATGCACCAAGCCTCCCATTAGGAGTGTTACCATACACAATACGTGTAAGAACTAGATTTTCACATCACAGTTAAATTTCTGACCTTCCATTTTGGGCGGCTGACTTAAATGCAGATCATCTGTGATGTTCATCTTCCACCAAGAAGTACATAGTGAAGTTGAGACAGGAGTTGTAGCTCTTACCTGGCACCAAAAGATATTAAAGCATGCCCCCTAGTGGGAACAAAAATTATAAATATGCAAGATGCTGTGTCCCTCCCTCTTAGGATTTAGGTGAAATCTAACACACTGAGGGAAAATTCCCTTAATTGTGCATACTAAAGCTATCTGAAGATGTCATGCATAGATGTGGTTTATAATTCACTCTTCAACTCTCTGCGAAGAGCTAGTAATTGGAAAAGCACTTGTTAACGGGTTCTACCCAGGTTAATAGGATCACTGGAGCCAAAGGCTGAAAATTTAGATGAAGGAAAATTAAAAAAAAAAAAAATCTGATGTAAATAAATTAACCCAGAAATGTTCAAAAACATATTTAAGTGTTTTAAAATTTAGCCTCTCAAGGTCTCCCACTGGCTAAATTTGAGCACACAACTATCCCAATGATTTTAACATACTGACTAAATAAAAATCCAGGAATTTATGGGAAGGGGGAAGGGGAAGGAGAGGAATGGGGGAAAGAGGGAAGAGAAAGTGAGGAGAAGGGGGAGAAGAAAGGGGGAAAGGGAGAGAGGCCTGGCAGAATGACCTCAAGGAACAGGATGACAGGGGTAGGCACAGAGATGAGGTGTGAGAAAGGGTCCACATCACCTCTGGGCCAGCAAAGGGGTCTGGCAGATGCCAGGTAGAAAGTTGGGCAATACAGGCAAGAAATATTTGTGGCATGGAGAGGAGCAGAGTAACAGGAATAGAAATTAGTAGTTGGAAATACAAAACATTCAGGAGACGGAATCAGTGTGATTTGCTGACCAGATGGATATGAGGGGAGGGAGAGAGAGGTAAGAGGTGGTGGCCAGGTGGCACCATCGAGGAGAGGAGAAAAGCAGGAGCGGGCTGGGGTGGAGACAGTACAGGATGAGTTCATGAAGAACTCCCCAGGGCCTCTGAGTGCAGATGCCCAGGGTGCTCCCTGGACCCCTCAAGCCAAGCATCAGCTGGTGCACAACAGATACCCAGGAAACACTGGCTGAGGGCCAACAGACCCACAGGAAAAGACAGATGGCCCTCAAAGGCTAATACTGGCTGTTCTAAAGGCTCAGAATTTAAAATTAAAAAAGCAATTTGCTTAACATTGCCCACAACCAATTCAGTAAGTTTTAGAGAGTGTGAAACTGACAAGCTGATACTAAATTTTTTTACAAAGTCATTACAATATTACAACTCTAAACTTTACATCTGCGTGTTTACTAAATCAATAGATGCAGTTAGAGATAAATTCCTGAATCTTCAACGTGGAGATTTGACAAATTCAGAACACTTAAAACCCAGAACCCAGTCTCACCTAATCTAAAAAGCCCATTTTAAAGTTAATGTAAATGTTTCTAGAAACTCACATCTTGAAGTCTTACTAACAACCCTATGTAACAGGTAACGAATGCACAGCGCAGCCCGCAGTGCTAATGAAAGGACAACTCCCTTTATTTCTGTGATACACTTTATGAGGTATATAGTGTGGAGTGCTTCCCAAGTGATTAGTAGGGATGCAAGTCCACCAATTCTTCCAATAATTTCTAAATCATTTCATTTTAAAAAATTGTTTTCAAATGACACCACTTCAGAAGTTAAATCAAACCACAGCTAGTGCCTTCATCTGACATGGCACACACATCCCCCTCTTGTAACTTCCCATTATTCTGACAGAGGTGAAGAACCTATAGTCTCAATAAACAGAATTGCTCTTGATGTTGTGTATGATCCTCTCTCAGCTTCTGATGAATTTACAATTAACAGGAAATGTTTTCTACTCTTTTTTGATACTTCTGAGATTTGTATACACCTGATATTTCCATTATTGCGCTTACCAGAACACACTGTTGTTGAGTTAGGTCAAAACTGATGTCTTAGACTGACACAAAAAGGTATAGCGTGAGTTAAGGACACGGCTCTCTGTGAGTTAAAATAGAAATGCCTATGTGCCTCAGTTTCCTCGTGTCTAAAATGGGCACGCTGATGAGGATGGTAATCACAGTTCTCAAATGGAGTTGGCGTACATTAGAATGCTGCGTGTCACACAGCAGCATCACGTTACGTCCATGTTCATTTTTATTAATAAAGTGAATGTTGTGAATGCCCTGATAGGAAGGCAGGCCATAAATTCATCCCAGTGAATGGAGGGACAAAAAGGGAGCTCCACACTGACAGCCTCTGTCTCCACCTGCCAACTTCCCTGCTTCAGGAGTGCCCTAGGCGAGCACAGCACCTGTCAGCCTGTCAGGGTGACAATGGCTCCAAACGTGAGCCTTGAGCTTGCTGACTCTCAGAGCCAGAGCTGTGGGATGCACTTCCCACAGTTGCCACTTGAGGGCATCTCTGGGGAGCACAGCTGACTGCCAGTCTCCGGAGGCCAGAGGTGCTAGTATCTGGTGCCCTCCAGTTCAGGCAGGTGGTGTGGGCAGGGCACAGGCTGGCCCTCTTTGCCTGGAGGGAGCCAATGGCAAAGCATGGGAAACAAGACTTGGGGGAGTTCGACTGGCAAAGGCAGCGACCAGCCAGAAGAGGTCTTAAGGGCACTGAGCTAGGGTCCTGGCTGTGGTGGTAGCGGAGAATCTTTAGCAGGAGGTACGGCCGCACAAGTGCATACCCACACAGGTCTGGCTAAGTACCAACCTTGGTAAGGTTAGCCATGGAACTACTGAAATCACTGAATAAATCAATGACCTGTGTCCACAGTATCTGAGGGCTCAAATGTGTGCCTGAAATATGTCGGAGTGTCACTGAAGGCAGATACTACGATAGTTGCTTACCTTGGGCTGCGTATCTGCAGGAGCCATCCTCCACCAGCACGTTATAGAAAGGCTGGTGATGGCCGTGAGGCAGGCTGTGGACATTCATATTGCGGATCCACTCGTGTCCCATCATGCAGGTGGGGTCCCAGCCATAGATCACACAGTTGTAGCCATACCTATCAACAGAAGAATGATGGCCAATCAGTGGCCTGGGACCCTGCCATGGCAACCACGGAGTGTTTAACTTAATGGTTTGTCTTCTCCTGAGCTCATGTTCTTACAAATTTACTTCCTTTTACTCCGCACTGAGTTATTTTTCAGGACATTCCTGGCCCCCTTTACAAACCCTCTTTATTATCAATATAGCTCTTCCGCTGGAAAAGAATACACCTTTCAGCAAAGAGTGATCATTAACAACTGGTTATCCAAATGGAAATGATATCAAGACCGGGCCTGACAACAATACACAGTCAGTCCTTAGCAGTATGAAGACCTAGATGTAAAATGCAGGACTTTTAAAATATCTTCATGACTCAGGACAGGGAAAGATTTCTTAAACAAGGTACTAAAAAAACAATCCATAAAGGAAAGGATTGACCTATTTGATGGCATTAAAGGATTCTGAATGAAACAGACTGAAAAAAAAGGGAAAATTGGGGGAAACTCTAACTCTGACTAGATACTGGATGGGGCTAAGGAACTGTTTATATTTCTTAAATATGACAACAGGATGGTAAACAAGTTTTTAAAAAAAGACAAGCCCTTACCTTTCATAAATACATACTGACCAGTTATAGATGAAATGACATCTGGTATTTGCTTGGGGGGCATTGAGGGGTGGGGATGAAACAATGAAGACTGACCCTGTTCTGGCAAATGGTTGAGGCTGGATTTGGGAACATCACATGGTGCATTACACTTTTCTCTCTACTCTTACATAGGTTTGAAATTTCCATAATCAAGTTAAAAACAAAAAGCAAGGGAAGAATAAAAAACACTAGCCAAAAACTGGGAAAAGTTTATCTGCAACATAAGTGCATACAGAGACGAGGGACAGAATAAAAAATGATTACAAATGGTCGGGAAGACTAATAATTCATTTGGAAAATAAGCAAAATACTCGAAGAGGTACTTAATAAAAGAAACCTGAATAGATGGTAAACATATGAAAAGAAACTCAATCTGCATAGTCATCAAGGAAATGCAAATTAGAACTAGAATGAAATACCACTGGCCAGCTACTACAGAGGTGCATTTTTAAAGGTCTGGCAATGACACATTGGCCAGAATATAAAGTCTCAGCTCCTAGCTTGCTGATTGGGATGTAAATCAGTACCATCACTTTGGATAGTTTACTTTTGCCTAGTCAATGGACCACGTGCATACCCCTCAACCCAGCAAATCCCTACCGGCAACTCAGATTCAAGGATATGGACAGTAAAAGGAGAGTGAGGAACACTGAAGAAATGAGAGAAAAATGCTTTGCTTACAGTTGCTTCCATCTTGCCACAAAGAGAAGGGTCATACAGCTAAAGGTCTAAAATATTAGAAGATCTCCCAGTTAGGAAGGCAAGTCCCTTCTTACAAAACAAAAAAGTTAAAGATATGGTTCAGCTCTGTGTCCTTCCCGCGGTGGCACTCAGCCGCTGCCTGCAGCAGGTCCCCTCCCGGCGCATCACTGCAGCTCCCGGAGGAGGTGCTCCCAGGTGCTGGTGCATCCTCTGCAGCCCAGGGCGGAAGGGCGTCACGCGGCACTCACCTCTTGTGTTTCATAATAAGCCCAATGGAGTAGCAGACATCTCTGTGCTTCTCATGGGAGCGGAGCTTCACCTCCACGCCCACCTCCTCCTTCTTGCGCTCAATGTGCTCTAACGTGTGCTGCACCAGATAGCCCACCGCCCCGTGCTGCCCCGGGTCTAGGGTCTGGATGTGCTGGAGGATGTCAAGCACCTTCAAGACAAGACAGAAAGACTAGGAGATAATATTTTCATTTAGGCCTTTTCTTTTTCACGGCATGGGATTCAGACCTACATAACCTGACAAAGGCAGCAGTGACAGGGGCCATGCTGATGGCCCAAGTGTCTGTGTTGAGCGGACTTCCACCCTGTCGGTGCTAGGCATGTGTGTGCAGTCAGTACACTCACTGTTAATGCTGGGTACTGGCTGCAGACATTCAAATTCAACCATCATGAACATAAGGAATTATTCAGAAATACGGGAGACTGGAATAAGCATGGAGTAAGGAGGCAGGGCCTGCCATCCTGGGCACGTTTGGATTAGGTGAGCCCTAAAAGGTTCTAGCAGTCTTGGTCAGTGTGGGGATTCTCATTTTTATATCCAAAACAATGTTAATCTGCCACTCAAGGATTGGGAGAAAAAATAAATGCTAAGCTGCTTCAATCACAATCAAGAGGATGCGTGGCAAAGCTGCCCCAGTGCTCTGTAAGATGGACAGGGTCACAGAGAAGCCACCAAAGCAACGCAGATCAGTTTAGTTTATGAGGTGACACTTTAAGAAGGAAGACGTGTACCAGGGTTCTGAAATGCTACTGGTCATTTCAATTATTTTAACTCACGATGGAATCAGTATTCAAGTGGGCAGGGAGAAACCACATCTATGTGGAATTTAAATGACTGGCTGGTAGCAGAACTGACTGACTCCAAGCTTTCATTTTTTCCTACCCTCTACAAAAAATACGAATCTGAATAAAGCTAACATGCACACAGTATTACAGCCTTCAGCAGAGGGTCTCTGACATGTTTGTCCTTTGGCAACATGATCTTTCCCTGTTCACTGAGCATGCTAGTAGGCACAGCTGGCTTTTAGTCCTAGAGCCACAAACTTGCTGTCTTTACCTTTAAATTAGTTTATTCACTTATCAAATGATGATTAGTAACTGCCCTATTTCCTATATATTTTGGCCCAGTAAAACTGTGAAAACTACAGTTTTAAGCAATGCAAGATATTATTATTCCAAAACCCAATCAATATTTACTGAACACTTACTGCTCTGCTGGTCACTGTGCCAAGCCCATCAGATCTTTTATTTCATTTACTCCTCCCAAACTGGAGGTCAGCAGTACAGTCACTGACAATTTCCAGAAGAGGAGTCAAGCTCAGTGCACCTAAGTAGCTTGCCTGAGGTCATGGGGTTATAAAGAAGGAAGTGAGGATGTGCACCCAGCGCTGAGTCTACACCCTAGGTCTCAAGCTCCAGCATACCAAAAAAGAGTAGGGGCACTTTAACTACCTGCTACAAACTTTCAAACACACACACAAATGGACAGAACGGCATAATGGCCAGTACCTCAAACCCGGCTTCAACCACCTATCAACTGAGAACCAAGTTCCATCTACTTCCCATCTCCAGTAGCATACTTTTAGTTTGAAGGACCTAACATCTACCCTTTGTAGCTAAAAACACTGAACAGTAAGTGTCTATTTATTGTGCTTGCCTAACAGCTTTCCATAATGCACATGCTACTCTGACTACACATGCTACATTCTACAGACACAGCTTCCCCCTTCCAGGCAGCCCCTCCGCACCAGGTAAGTGAAGTAGACATAATGTGGAATCTTTAATGCACAAAGAAGTCCCGAAGTCATGCGTAGTACTAGAGGAGGAAGTAAACTTCAGGGAAAAATCCCCCTCCTTCCCTTGAAGTGTCCATGACAGGGTGAGAGCAGAGGGAAGAAATGAAGAAGATACCATGATACAAGGCCTGGTGTGTGCCAGGAGGACAGTGCTGACGATGGAGCACTGTGATGTCTCCAACTACATGTCTAGGCCTAAATCCCAACAGTCCACAACTTTGGGATGGAGATCTTGGAACAGGAATCTCTTACTCATGATTGACAAGCTTTTTCTACAAAGGGCCAGAGAGTAAATATTTTAGGCTTTGTGGGCTATACTGTCTCTGACTCAACTACTCACGTCTCCACTGGAGCTGGAAAGCAGTCAAAGACAAAACGTGAACACATGGGTGTGGCCATGTGGCCTAAACTCATTCAGAGCCAGGCCAGATGTGTGCAGGCTCCCCCTGTAGTGCTCCATCCTCTGCATCCGCTTGCCTGTGGGCTCTGCTACTTCTGGGGCTTCACCTACCAGATTCAGAAGCTGGGAGCTGCTGGCAAATGCTCTAGGATGGCCACACTTGACAGCTCCAGGTCTTATCAAATTCAACATTCCCCAAACTGAACACTTCTTCTACCCCCAATCGGGTCTGTTCTCTAAATACGCACTTCCAATGGGGCCAGTCTCCCGTGCTGGAAATCTGGACATCCTCTTTGAGCCTTCTCCCTCATCCCTACCATGTCTTAATCATTCACTCAAAATTTTGTTAAGCACCTACTGCTGTGTGGCAGAATTTACATCAAGCAAGGGGAATAGCTACAATAAAGAACAAAACAGATGAGGCCCCAAGAGCATGGTCTACGGGAGAAAGTGCACCAAGCAAACAGTTACAGCACACTGAAAAATGTTCTGGGAAGGGGTGGGCACATGGCTGGCATGACAGAAGAACCTGGCCTCACCTGGAGGCCAAGGAAGGGCTTTCAGAGGCAAAGGTTTCAGCTAAGGGCGCAGAAGTCAGCTGGTAAATGGAAATGGAATGAGGGTTAAGGAAAGGTGTATAGGTGGAGATGCAGCACGTGCAGACTGAAGCATCACAACAGGAACAAGGGCAGACATGGCTGAGGTGGCGGCAGACCAAAGAAGCAATTGTGAGAGACAAGGAAGCTCAGGCTCGCAGGGCAGCCCCTGAACCCAGTATGCCACATGAAGAGAACGAGCCCGACTCCAAGGTAACGGGGAGCCCCTCAGAGGGCTCCAAGCAGTAGGGGACATAATGGACATTTTATTAAGCTCACTCTGGCTACAGTGTGTATGTCGGGTTCAAAGGCACTAGCAGTAGAGGAGAGGAAATCAGGTGGGAGGCCAGTGCAATAACCCAGGGGGCAGAGCCATGTACCAATTGGTAGCAGACATCTGAGCATGATGATCTGGGACCCAAGGTCCAGGCAAGAGATCCAACATTCAGGAAATGTCAGCCTGCAGATGGCAACGAAAGAAAGGAGACCTGGTGAGACCACTGAGGGGACAGAAGTCCAGAAACTACCCTCTGTGGAGCCTGTAAGGGAGACACACCCAGAGCAAGGAACCAGCAAGACCCTGAGAAACAGGCACCGTGGAGTCAGAGCAGGGTATTCTGAGCGGAGAGTGGCCCTGGAGAACAAGATAAGGCAAGACGAGTATCTACTAGATTTTGCAACAAGCAGAACAGTTTTAGCTAAAAGGGGTCACTGGCTTCCTTGTCAAGAGCAGGTGGCATGAAGGAGGGGTGGGAACGGATCACCATGTTCTGAGGGGTGTGTGGGAGGAGAGGCAGGGGGACACCGTGCAGGGCATGCACTCTGGCCTGCGCTGGAGCCATGCAGGGGAGGAGAGATAAGGAGGTAGCTGCAGGGAAATGCCTGCAAGGCTGTCACCGGAGCGCTTCTGGGGTTTTCTCCAAAGCTCAGTGAAAGGGGAGTACATTTATTGCTGCTGGTAGAAAGTAAAAAGGGGGAGCTGCAGATAAATACAGGAGAAGAAATAAAGGAAAACCGAGAGCTGGGTCCAGAGCATGGGGGGTCTGCCCTGGAAAACTGGAGGGGCATCTTTCCCACTGAAATGTAGAGAGGGAAGGGATTAAAATATGGAGCCCATATGGACCAAAGTAAGGATGTGGGTGTGGCAACAGGAGCTGGAAAGCACCTGACTGTGGCTTCTGCAGCCAGCGCCTTGCCACAGCCCACTGTCCCATGGGTGAAGCATGTGGGTGGGCTCAGGTGCCCACCCACTGGAGGCAACTCCTGTTGCCCTCAGTGTCCGCAAGGGAACCTCAGCAAACTGCCTGCGTTCTTGGTGCCTCGGTTCCATCATTTGGAAAAAACCCAGCATCTACTGCATGGGGTTGGAAGGAGGTACTTGGTAAGTGTTAGTGACTCCATTTCCGTCATAGCCAAGATAACGCTGAATTACTGCAACAGTGACCAAGAGGACTGGTATTTCTTAGCTCTTCCTGATTTACTTCAACTGAAAACAAGAAGACTTCTAGTCTTCCCAGTTTAGGAAAGTTTCCCCTTAACCCAAAGAGATCAAAGTGATTCCAAGCCCTCCACAACTGATCTCACGGCTTGGAAATGTCACACGCACACACACACACGCATACACATGTACAAGGACACATGTATAAACCCTTGTTGAGCTGGCCTGCTCTGCCGCACTGGGCTCCCTGGCCTTGCGCCATGTGCAGGCTGTTCCTGCCCACTGGAGTAAACTACTTTTCTGTCCTCTAAAACTGTTTCCCATGCTTCAAGGTCCACCTCAAACTCTTCCTCTGGAGAGGAACCTTTTCTAACTGCTTCAGCATCCCCTGGATTCTTCCTCCTGGGGACCCCCCAGTTTCCCTGCACTGTCCTGGGTGTCTCCCTAGCTCAAATACACATTTACTGAGTGGAGGTCCCTGGCGGACTGGGAATAAGCCACTTTTTGTTCCTGATCTCTGGAGGGGTGTGTCTAGGTGCTACACCCCCACACGAATGGTGGTCACAAGGAAAAATGGCCTGTGTGCAACAATTCTAGAAACTGTTGCAGTGGCGTCTGCTGGGCAGGACAGCAGTCTGGGTCACCCAAGGTGGAAACCAAGGTACCACAGAAGGCAGCAAAGACCTCTAAGCTGAGCCAGCCATCAAAGGTAAGGACATCCAAGCACCTGCAGACTCCCTCAAGAGGGAAGTTAACCTTACCCCTTCCAAAGTTGCAATTTAAGGACAGAATTTACTTATGAAGAACCATCTTTGAAAGCATCTCTGTATTTTACAAATTATCATGAAATTTCTTAACTAACGTAAGGTAAAAAGTGACAGGAATTAGTTATGTATCCTGGTATTACATATTAATAAAGTGAAAAAATAAAAATAAACTATTAAATTCTGGACAACAGGGTGTTGGAAAGTAGGTAGCAACTTTACAGTAGAGTCTAGTTTTTCAATAATCCTTCTGCCAGGCCAGGGGGATATGCCAGGAGTACATCACAATACAGGAGCCTAGGAACTTTCCCACTGATGTGTCCCTTTAGAACTATTTTAGATCTTTAAAGTTGTGAATAAATGACATAATTTAAATCTGAGCACTGTCAAGTCACTTAGACCATTTACTTTCTCAAGAAACATTCTTTCACTCTCTTAACAACTGTGGTGCAAGCCCACTCTGTGAGAGCACAGAATTAAATCCTCTCACCACACTGTTCTAAACAAACACAACGGATTACTAACATACTCTTATGGACAGGCAGTGGTGCAATGGAAAAGGGCCTCTGCCCTGCACTGTGGCACATGCCTGGCACTATACATCTGCTGCACCCCAGCTTGCTGGGGCCTCCGGAAAGTGCTGGCTCTGGCCACAGAGGGTTATTAAAGAACTGAGAAATCCAGGTGGGGCAGTATCAACATGCAAGTCTTCAAAAACCAGTCCTTAACTAGTCCAGCAGCTGGACGTGAACACATCAGATTCAATCTCCCCATGTCAAACAGGGGTGTTTATGTACAGTCACTTTAATTGCCAAGAGCACGGCTGACGGGTGAGCATCTGAAGTCTTCTTTCCCCTTGCTGAGTTAGGGTGACCTGGGAAAAACACATCTTTGGGCCATGAGTGAGTGGCAGCTCAGAGGCCTTGTGGTTCTGGGTGTTTAACACACTGACTGTGAAGAGAATGGGCAATTTCTGGTAGGATAACCAATTTTTATTAATAAAGTGGATAGAAAAATTTAATTGATGGGTCCAGTTTGGGAGACATTGAATAAATCTGTGTTTATTCCCCACTTAATACAAAGATAAACTTGTAAGAGCCGCCTTTCAAGCTAGGAGTTCCCTCTCTAAGGCAAGTGCAAATCATCAAAGTAAAATAATTACCTTCTCTGGCCAGATTCCCAGGTGGAAGTAGAGCCTGGCTTGAAGGAGGAGAAGCTGCACCTGGTCTGGGTACATTGCCAGATACAGATCGAGTGAGTCTCTCAGGAGCTGGTACGACTGGTCAATGCCTTCCCTAGCAGGGGAAATAAATCTTTGTCTTAGCCTGCTTGCTTCTGAGCTAAGACCCTCTTGCATAAGGCCCAGGTTTGAAAAGTAATTGACACAAACCCCACATGATTTCTGATTCTGACACTTCCTCTGTTCAGCAAATAGTTAACAATGTTCTTTATTTAAAAAAACACACAAGGAATATAAATGTTGTGCCCCACTTTGGTGATGGGCATGAAACTGAAATCCTAAGTGCTTTCATCATGTGGTGGTCTCAACAACGCTGCACATAATTAAAAATGAATTCTGAGTAGGTGGAGCACAGAGAAATTTTAGGGCAGTGAAACTACTATAATGGTAGATACATAAAGTATTTGTCAAAACCCACAGAATGAAGAACACCAAGTGTGAACCAGAATGTAAACTGTGGACTCTTGAGTGATAATGACGTGTCACTGTAGGTGTAGGTTCATCAACTGTAACAAATGTCCCCCCCCACTCTGGCGGAGGATGCTGGTAGTGGGGAATGCTGAGCGTGTGTGAGGCAGGGGGTGTATCAGAGCTCTGTACTTTCTGCTTGGTATTACTGTGAACCTAAAACTGCTCTAAAACAATAAAGTCTATTTAAAAAAAAAAATTCTGCCATTGGCCAAAAAACTATTACTATAATGTATAACTTTTTTTCTTATAAAACAAATTTCCTTTGACTCAGAAGCAAAACAGTTTCCCACTTAGTTTTCTTATCTAAGTGACAGAAATGTATAAAGTGAAAGATGACAAAGCATTGGGACATGAGAACATCCTGCCCCTGAAAAATAATCTGGCTGTCTAAATATGCTTGATACTGAAGAATGCTTTCAGTACTTATTAAGAGAACGTGTCCAAGTCCACTGCAAAGACCTCACAGAACAGTCACCTAGCACCTTAGTTCTGGACAGCACTGTGTCACGGGGACCAGGTTCTCCACAGCGGGTGGACAGCTGCAGAGGTCCCAACTGTGCCACACAGTACCCACTGCTTCACTGACAACAGGGAGGCTCGTTAAATATTCTCTGTAAGGCAATTCGACCCTCCAAAGACATGCACTCCACAGAAGTATTGGAAAACCCAGAAAACCTTACCGCTTTCCCAGGCTTAAAAGGTTCCCCACCATTCGCTGTAAGACCTTCTTTACATTGACTACCCCATACAATGCTGCTGTCACGTGCTGGCCGATCAAGTATTCACACTCCTTCACTGTCAGCTGTTTGCCTTTCCCAAAAGCATCTATGTAGACGTAGTCAAAGATGTCCAGGGTCACCCTATCCAAAGAGCACATGGAGTTAGCCACATCTCAGAGTAGAACCACACAAGTCCATATTTAAAATCCCCCTAATAAGTAGCTCAAATCAGAGACTGAATCTTAACACAGTAACACTTCTAATTAAAATACCAAGGCCTTTGTCTAAAGCTTAAAATCTGACCTTTCATACAGGCTTTGCTGTGTTAAGAGTGCAGATATTTAAGAAACAGCATTGATATATGCCACCTAATAGTTTTTTTAGGGAGATTAAGCTTAAAACTCTTTGCCAGGATTATCTACCAGAAGTTCATTTGAGAGAAGTATTTATGGGATGCCTGAGGCCCTCTATGAATCCACAGATGAGCAGTGTTAATGTTTGTGGGCCCTGGGCCTCTGAGACTCTGGGGAAAGCTATGACGCCTCGTACACGTACTCTGCCCTTGGTTCTGCAGACTCGCTCAGGTCACAAACAGGCTGAGCCCACCCATGGCCTCAGGCTAGGAAGCTGCCCCACACCACAGAGAGCTGAGTCCCTGGACCCCCCATACCACTCTCCCACGAGGAGGGGCTTTCCATGTACCACACTCTCACATACGGGGGTGGCATGAGCTGAGCAGTGTGGGGGGGAGGAGGTCATGTGGAACGTTACCCGGTACTCTCTCTGAGGGCTCCTAAGGGACTGAGGTGGGTCTTTATTTAAGGGGGACTTGTGTTTTTGTTTCTTGAGAAACTGTTTCACTTTCATCTATGTTTCATTTTCATCTTATTCAGAGATCATTTAAGAAATTTTCCCTTGGGTTGCTAACAAGCCCAGTTGCATTTCTTCCTTGAGTCATATTAACGGCCCAGGTCTTGTTAGCAAGACATATATAAATGTTCCAGAAACAAGGAATGCTCTTCAACAATTTTAATGAGTCTGAGGGAATCACAGATATACACACAAATTTACAGGCAGAAATCCTAAATAAAGTATGAGCAAGTCAAATACAGCAATGTATTAAAAAAAATGCACATGATCAAGTTAGATGTACCCCCATAATGACTTGAATATTAAAAAATCAATTTCAGCAATAGAGACTAAAAGAGAAAATCCATATGATCCTATCAGTGGACACAGAAAGGAAATTTGGGGAAAAATAATAAAATGACTAGTTATTAGTAAAACTTTTAGCGAACTAGAAATTTAGAAGACAGTTTGATAATCCCAATGAAAGGTACTGCTCTCAAACATCATGCTTGATGGTGAAATTTTAAAAGCATTCTAGTTAAAGTCATACCCAAGGCAAGGAAGTGTGCCTGCTATCTATTCAACTTTGTACAAGAGGACTTAGCCAACTAAACAAAAGATAAGCAAAGAAAAAGAAGGGCTAGGAGGAAAAGAAACAAAACTCTCTGAATTCACAGGCAGTATGTCTACACAGAAGAGACAAAAAGCTGACAAGTTATTAGCACTAATAATTTATTCAGCAAAGGCACTGATCATCAGCCCTGTATCTAAATAAGTATCGACCATATCCCTGTACACCATCAATACTTAGAAACCATAATTTGAAAAATTACCATTTAGTGTAGCAACAAAAATTTAAGGTACCTAGGCATAAATCTAAATGAAATGTCAAAGAGCTTGATGAAGAAAACAGTAAAACCTTTTCAAGGACATTAAAGACTTAAATGTATAGGGAGAGATCATGTTCACAGACAGAAAGACTCAGTAGTCAAACACTGGCAATATTTCTCATATTAACCTATGAATCAAACCCAAAGCACGTTCTGATGCTAATCAATATCCAAAACAGGGTTTCAAAGGAAAACTGATAAACAACAGATCCTATATCTACATACAGAAAAGCAAAAGGCTAAGAACAGCTAAGCCAATTTTGAACTCGATAGGGGTCTCCATCTACCAGGTATTAACTAATGATGAAGTTACAGTAAATAAACAATCTGGTCTTGGAGCAGAGAGCATGAGAGCCCAGGCCTGCAGTCCACATGCTTGTGAATGAGCTGTCCACTCTCCCACCATCCTTCCCATTTTTGCCCTGAGCCCAAGCCTTTTATCGGTCTCCATGTTTGTTTCTGCCAGGTGCCTGGGACGCTAATACATTACTTATTCAGTCATTTGCACTGTACTGTATGTTCACTGTAGCCTGAGAAGGAAAAATGATAGTTAACACACACAGCTGTACCCAGCAATAAGGTGCTGTGGTCAATAGTATGGCAATTGGTGTTTTACATCTTTTATATGATGCAGAAATCCTTGGTGGATTATTATATAGTACTTAGTGATATTTGGTGAAACTAGTAGGGTTACTTAGGGAGAGGGAATGGGCTGAAAAAGCATTTTTCCCATTTAAAATAATGGACCATGGGTGCCTGCTATCCAAAAAAGAAATCATCCAATGTGTTTTCACAAAAAGATTCTATTTGGAAAACATGGGAAGCCTGCACTTATTACTTAAGAAAACACACATAATGAACCACAAAAATTTGCATGGAAATAACAAACACTCCCAAACTAACTGGTCATTATCTTTGAAGAGAGGAGAGGAGAAAGAATGCCTAGGAGGCTCCAACTGAGTATGTGTTTTATTTCTTAAACTGGGAGGTAGAAATACAGAAACTGGTTATACTTTCTTTCTATGTAAGCATCAGAAATTCTACTAAGTGTGTAAGACACTGTGAAATTTAATGCTCCACCACTATGAAAAATAGCCCCATTTCACAGAGGAATAAACAGAAGCTCAGAGAAAGCCAAGGTGTGACCTAGCCTGACCTCAGAAACCTTCTGTGCTGCTCATCACTTCACAATGAGGCCTCTGCCTATCTGGTGAACTACATCTTTCTGTGAAGCTAGACTATAGCTGAAAAGGAGTTTCATGCCCAATAGGACACCAGGCTTAAAAAGGAGAACAGGAACAGAACCCATTAAGCGGTCTCTGAAATGCACATTGGTCACTTCCTTGACCTAAAGAGAGGACCACTGATGATGGGAACTGGACTGCGTGCTTTGCTCCTGGAGGAAGACCTTGGCTCTCCTGTTCTCTCCCTCCCCGCTCTTTTCAGTGAGGAGAGAGGGAGGGGAAGGGAGATTTTAAAGAAGACTGGGAAGTAAGAGCTTCTTTAAGAACTCTGATCTGATCTGCTTTTTAACAAAGGAACTTTGAACTTTGAACAAAACCTTGAACTCCTAGTCCTGTTCCTTAAAATAAAATTTCTTACTTTCAGATAATGATAAATTCACATGCAATTTTAAGAAATAGAGAAAAATCCAGAGCACCCTTCTCCCACAACTACAACACTGACACAGTCAAGAAACTGAATAGCTCCATGGCCACACCAGTCCTCTTAACCTCTGTTAAGCCACACTGTGACTTAAGGCAGTGAATCCTTAGGACCAATCACAACGTGTTATAGATGGCTCACCCTTCTGCTCCTTGACACCACCTGAGTAAGAAGTGACTCGGGAAGTTGACAGGTTCCAGTGGGACCCCCAATTGCCGGGCAATTGTTAAGTAGAGAAGAGACATGCTGATTGGGATTCCTGTTCTGCGGATCAAAACCTGGAGGAGGAAAAATCCTTTAGCTTCACAAAAATGAACCATACCTTCTCATTCCTTCAACACGTTTGATTGTTAGGCACCTGTTGTGCATCAGGCATGATGCTAGGTTGTGAGGTTCAAATGGATGAACATTTTATTTCTTTAGATCAGTAGCCTGCAAGCTATAGTCCATGGGATAAATATGCCCATGGCCTGTTTTTCTATGGCATGTGTAAGAAGAGTTTTCTTATTTTTAATGTTTAAAAAAAGTCAAAAGAATACTATTTCATGACACAAGAAAACTGTAGGAAATTCAAATTCCCATGTCCACATATGAAGCCTTACTAGAACACAGCCACACTTGTTTCTGTATTGTCTGTGCCCCCTGCCTTTCACACTATAAAGGCAGAACTGAGCAGTCAGGACAGAGGGCACATACCCTACAGGGTCAAAATAATTGACTGGCCCTTTATAGAAAGTCTGCACGACCTGTGATCTAGGCCCTTCCACAGTAAGAATTTAAGGCCATTTCAAGGAAAGTATAAAATATGACAAAAGAAAAGCAGCATGCAGATCAACAGACTAGGTATGAAAACAGAGCTAAATAGGAAGCAAATAAAAACTATCAATGGACGTAGCTTGGTCTGACTTCCTCCAACCTCCCCACAGGCCAGTGCAAAAAGAAAAAGATGTGCTCAGTTATTCAACTTAGTGTTTAAGATACAAACTGACCAAACGGGGTCTGAGAAATACCTATTTGCAGCCAGGAATTCATCTTAAAGGTTTTCATACAAAGGGCACTCTGTAAAGAAATAGATGGAATCCACAGCATTACCCTGAGAGAAGGGGCAAAAATGAGTTTCACTGGGCACTGAGGGGTGAAAAAGACACGGTCCTTGCCTCAAAAAATGTATAGTCTATCAGAGATGTGCTTCAAAACGATATGTTATGTTTTAATATACCCCTACCTGGTGCATATATAAGTTTAGGGCATTATAGTAATCCACTCGGTTCCCCTTGAACTTCAGTTGGTCATAAAGGACATAGTTCATGGCATCCAGCACTTGACTCTGGAGTTCTATTTCCATTATCATGGAGGATTCACCTGAAACAGAGATCTACTCTGAGGACACAAGCACAAATGAGGTGTTAACGGTGTCCCACCTAACCCCTAACATGCACACACTTCCAAAGTTCTCACAATATTTGTCAGGTGTTGCCAATCCAGGGTGCAGAAAAGAATATGTATTCAAAGTCTTTTACATTATCCAGGTGAACATGGGATTGTGCCATTAATTACTGTTTTTGTGACACAAGGGAACACACTGCAGATTTTCTCAAATTAATAATTCCTCTAGATTTTATTACGCAAATACAGTTGGATCCAAAGCAGTTGCACACCTGCCTTGAAGGCCAAGCTGGGGTGTCTACTGTTTATGCCCCGGAGGGTTTTGCAAACAAGCTCTACGATGCTGTCAATCTGGGCCTGGATGTCTTTGAGGCTGATGTCAGAGAGAGGATTGCAGTATTGGTCAATATACACGGCACCTGAAAATGAAAGAGAATTATTGGAGAATTACTTTTCTTATAGTTTGTCATTTACCCCAGACACCTGGGGCATAGCTCTTTACTCCAGCCCACCAGATTAGCTTCGTATCTTCATGGATGTCAGACTTTGCTGCTAATACACTGAGAAGAAACAAACATTCTCACAACAAAGGAAAAGTTAACTTTTTTTTTTTTTTTAAACCAAACCTCTCTCAGAGGTCATGGACTCAAAAAACTGCATGATACACATATATTCCCACATTCTATTAAAGAGAAATAAATGTTATAAAGGAGATCTTTTCAAGCTACTTTTCTCTCCCTATTTCTCTGTTAATCCAAAATCCAACAACTCTGAAAACTTAATGGTGTAAGATAGTTCCTTTACTTAAAAAAAATATACCTGAAAGCACACAATGAGAGATATGTCATTTCCACAAACTATACCTCTCAAAGGTTAAAAAACAGTAAATGGACTTTAGAATCAGAGAAAGTTATACTCAGGAAACCTGCAGCTAAAATGCTGGACAAAGTACACTGGAGACACTGTCTCTTGAAAATCACCACTCTTTATTGTCTTGCATAATTTCTTTTAACCAGAGAAGGAAGGGCTAACTTGATTATTCGGCTCTTGGACATTTTCACTTGGAAAGCCATAGTCACTTTAAATTCAAGAAGTCTCAAAGCCGCTCAAGATCTTGATCCTCTACCTACAGTCCAAGGAGCTGAGAGCAGCTGAATGGGTGCCAAGAGACCTGGACCCCAGTCTCAGTTTGACCACTAGCCAGGGATTGGCTCCTAGGCCTCCCTGGGACTGCTTGCTCATCTGTAGACTGAAGGAATTTTTGCTGCACTTCCCCAAAGTCCACTCCATCCTATAGTTGTGATTTCTAGACCTCATCAATGGCATCAGATTATTCTAACCACTCACTGAAGACCAAAACCCTGGGACCAACTTTCATTCACTTGAACTACTTAAAAATCTTCAATGGCTACCCAATGCATTATACTACTACTTTACAGATGGAAGATCAAAAAGAAGTAATCAGTCATTATAAATAAGCTGCAGAAAATAAAGCTTGTCAGATTACTCTTGACTGTGGGATAAACAGCTGATAGGATGACTCTCAAGTCCAGTATGCATATGAGAAGATTTCAGGGTGGTGAGGATACTTTAATGAACTGAAACAAATTTTTCATTTCCTTTTAGACAATACAAGATTTTCATACAATAAACAAGAATCTGTACTAGGCGAGTAGGATTTAAGACAGAATTCTAAGGAAAAGGGATACCACTAATGAGGACGTGAAGCCAGGCTTATAGGGTGTCAGTGAGGACACGGCCTGGCTGGAGCAAATGGAGCATTTAGCAGTCATGGAGAAAGGTTTTGAGTTAGTGGAAGGATGCAGACAGAGTTAATAAAAAAGGAAACCAGGTAGCCACATTGCAGGGCTCACATGGAGTGGTAAAAGTCTGGGTTTCAGACTGACTGGCACTGCTGTGCTGGCTGACTTGAGGGCAGAAGAGGATGATACTCCTAGAAGCAAGTGTCACTGAGAAAGCTGCTGCTGGGGGAGGTGGTGAGCATCTGCACAAGAACAGTGACAGGACAGATACTGGCCATGAGGGCTGATGGGAAGGGAAGGGAAAAATCAGTGAATTGGGTAAATCACTGTGAGTAGGGAATGAAAATGAATGAGCAGTTGTATCTGTATTTCATAACTATAATTTATGGGAGTGTTTGTGTAATATGCTAGAAATTTTAAATGGTTTTAAAAAAAATGAAGTCACCCTTTGTTCTTCTTTAAGTAGGGACAAGTTATTCTCTTCATTTGGCCTGTCCACTCGACTTTCTCCTCACTTCTTGTTATGGACAAGCAGACTGACTGATGCGCAAGAACATTTTGTCCTTGTTAAACTCCAACAAGAGAGTTAAGGGATTTGCTCGGGGTCACATGGAGACAAAACTGGACAAATTTATTTCTGATTTGGATATCATATTCAAAGCTAAGAAAAACGGGAAATTTAACCTTAACTAAAATTATCAGTTTCGTGCTTTGAACTGATGGTGCATCTTTAGAGAACATGGTCTTTTCAGCTGATAGCTAAAGGTTTTAGCAAAAGCTTAGCTCTCAGTTTAATAGTTCTGCCTATATAAGATCAGACCACAGAATCCAGGCCCCAGAAGTCCAAGTAGCACTGCTTTATCATTGGGGCAGTTTCCACTACTGCCCTTAGGGATAACTGAGCTGCCTATCTAAGTATTGCTGTTACAGTCTCACCTTCAAGATATGATTCATAGTCATCAGGCTGCTGAAGAAAAGCCTTAAGATTATTTAAGATTTTCTGTTGTCGTAGGTAGTAGAGAATTTTTTTTGCGTAGTATTTCCAGGTCAAAGCTTTTCTGGTGGGGGGGAAAAAAAACAGCACAAGTCAGTAAGACTCAAGACACCAAAATTTTCAATTACCTTCTTTTTTTTACTTCACACTAATCATACCATGGAAAGAGTCTACTTAGTAAGAAAAATGGTTTATGGTCATGCAGAACTTATGGAAGCAGACAGCATAATTTAGGACTTTGCATTTGTAATATATCACTACATCAGTTATGCTGACATTCAAGAACACTGATCTGTTTGGCTTCAGATTTACTAAAAGGAAATGAAAGGGAAACCTGAAAGGTTAGGGAAGCTGGTTCAGTTTCCGGACACAGGAGGCATGTGGAATCTTCGGCGGGCCCCTTGGCACCTGCCTCAGGGAACCCAGGCCCTGAGGTGATACTCTTCTCCTTCTATGCTCACTGCCATGGTGATCTCCAGATCATGGCTTCTAATATTATCCATAGTGACAACCCCCAATTTACTTTCCAGATCAAATTTCTGCCCTAACTTCTGACTACTACACGACATCCCCACTTGGATGTCTGGTGACCACGTTAAGCTTGCTTACCCTCCCTGTCACCCATTTCTCAGATAAAGGCAATTCCACCATTCCTGTTAGGCCAGCTACCCTGAAGTTCCCTTGACTGCCTGCTTTCTCTCATAAGCCACATTCAATCCATCTACCAATGCTCTTGGTTTTATCTTCAAAATGTATCAGAAATTTGTTGTGAGTAAGGCCTCTTCCGGTTTGAAACTGTCCTGCCTCCACCCCTCCTTCACCCTCTTCCCTGATTCACAGATCTCCGCAGCAATGCTCATTTTCTCACGTAATAAATAATCTTAGCTGACCTTTGACAGGGATTAGGGGTACTGACCCCCATGCAGTAGAAAATCTGCATATTAACTTTTGACTCCCCACCACTTAACTACTAGTAGCCTACCACTGGCCAGAAGCCTCACTGATAATAAACAGTTAACACACATTTTGTATGTTACACATATTATATACTGAATTCTTACAATTAAGTGAGAGAAGTATTTTTTTCAAATTGTCCCAAATCTCAAAAATTTTTCCAATATATCTATTGAAAAAAGTCTGCGGGTAAATGGATCCGAACAATTCAAACCTGAGTTGTTTAGGAGTCAACTGTACTTTGTCTAGGTCTATCTGCCCCCACTAGAGTATAAACCCCATGACAACAGGGTATTTCGTGTTGTTCACTGCTGTATCCCCAGTACCCAGAACAGTGTCTGGCTCACAGTAGATGCTCAATAAATACCTGTTGCATGGATGAAATTCTTCATCAGATCTCCCACATACACAGAGATCATGGGAAACAGGAGGGACACCGTGATTAACTTGTCTGCGTGACTTCATAATAAAGGGCTTTCAATCTCCAGTTAGTAAATAAAAATCAGCAGAGCTATGTTTTACCAGTTTTTTAACCTTTGAGTTGAAAAATATATTAATTCACACATCATATGAAACAAATAAGTAGCTTAATGAATTAATCTTAATAATAAATTATTAAAAGACAAACATCCTTGTATCCACCATTCAGTCCAAGTCACAGAACTTTGCAGATACCCAGAAACCCTCCATGGGCCCCTCCACAACCGTCACGATCCACACCTCTAAGATCATCACTACCTTTTCTCTGTCTTGCACCACATGCGCATCTCTAAACACTTCAGGGTAGTCTGTTCCAATGTTTTTTAAGTCTTTGAAAATACAAGATCCCCTTCCATCGTTTTTTCCCTTGCATTTTAATGAAACCTGGTTGTGTGACCTGTAGTTTCCAGCGTCTGTATTTTGTTGATTGCATCTACATGGTGTAATGTACATGTTCTTCTATCTTCCAAATTTCCTGTAAATTGGATGTAGAGGCTTGTCAGATTCAGAATCCACTAATTTGGCAAGACTACTTCACAGGTAGTAGTGAGTTCTTCCATCAGAAGGGAATCATTGCCTTGGTTGTCCTTGTCATGTTAGCAGCCACTGCTCGTCAATGCCCAGGTCTGTTAATTCATCAGAGGTCACACAGTAGTAGTATTCTAATTCAACCACCCCTTCTTTACTCATTAGCTGGGGTATTTCTATAAGGAATAATTTCTCCTCATCTACTATTTGGTCCCCCAGTGGCATTGTATATAAGGCAGACAGGATAAATGCTCATTTCTTTCTTTCACCCATCTTCAAAAGAATAATTGGGGTTCTTGTTAACCCCCAAAGGTGACCAAACAGTTGTTGTTAAGTATTATTATCAACTCAAGGAGCTAAACACCCTGGTATTTTTCAATCCATTTCAGTTATCATCCACATTGATGCTCAAATCCTTACATCTTTGCCAATGGAAGCCTTTTCATGTTAGCCCCTGAATGCGTCTGACATGAAGAGGTATAACTTTTTTTGCTATCTTATTACAGGCTTCCAAGATGCTGCAGGTTCAGCTTTTACATTTCCTGTACTGGCCCTAAAATCAGCCATTTCTCCAAAGCTCTGGCTTCTTTTGATAGGAAATGGTATATTAAAACCACAATATGGACACTAGGGATTTCTAGGTTGATTATTGTTTCTAGACCTTTTCAATGGACAGAAATATTACGTAAGTGTAAATATGTATGCGTGTACATATATACTTACACACACACATACATAGGAGCTCATACACCCTGCATATATTTAAATACAAGATACTTCATAAGTTCATACTGAAACTTCTCAATCAAATTCAGAACTTAATCTATTTAAATTTTTTTCCATTTTATATTTTTTATCTTTTTTCTTCCAGGAGAATCCCACTTCTCTGGAATCCCAGAGATTAATAATATCACCTAACTACTCATTTGTTTTGTTCAACCTCTGCCAGTCTCTCTCTCTTACACACACAGAGCCCCAGAATAACAAGAACACATTTTTATCACCTTGATGATTACTGAAAACAGCTAAACGTTCTGCTTACATGCTCCCCCCATTCTCTGTTTTAAACAGTTGTACTGTATGTACATTGCCAGCGCTTATGTACCATTACATACATTTTATCCCATTAACTGTCATTTGGATTTAACTCTTCAAGTAAATACATATCGAATGCTCACCATCAGTCCTTACGTCAGTGTCTCTACGGTTATTTTGGTTGTTTGAAGCTCATTTTCTAGCACATTTCTCAGAAAGGGCTCAAAAGTCTGAGGGTTCTTACAAGTTGATTAAGTTTGTCCACAGCCTTTATACTTGCAAGTCATTTTGGCTGGATATAAAAATCCTTGGCTGATATTTTCAATCCTTGAGTGTCTTAAATATGTTACTTTTTTTCCCTCTGGCATAGAGTATTGCTCTTAAAAAGTCTGATAATACTCTAATTTTCTTTTCCTTACAAGTGACTATTTTTTTCATTTGGGTATCCAAAGAACTTTTCTGTATTTAAATCCAAAAGTTTTACTGAAATATGTCTTAGTAGTTATTTTGAGTTAATTTTCTCAGGTAGCCTGTATGCCCTTTTAATATGTTGCTTCAAATTTTTATTGCAGGATTTACTCTTTTTAAAGATCACACAAAACATCATAAATGCTGTTTTCAAATATCCAGGGACTGGTGCCTTAGCATTTATAGACTATCCTCCTTCCTTCCTATGCTTTCCACAGCCACATAAGCATTAGCCAGGAAAGAATACAAATATGGTCCTTTATGAAAACCAGCATCCCAAAATACTTATAAATGTGAGAGTATTCTCTATCATTTAAAAACAACCCTGTTTTAGGCCCAAAATGCCTGTCTCAGGCCAAGGGGTAGCTTATCTATGGCATTTATTTCCAAAAAGACTGTAATAGTATTCTTTAATATTAATAATATGTGCATATCAGTCTTTTTTACCAATCTGGTAAATAAAAAAGCAGCATTTCATTGTAATTTAACATTTCTTTGAAGAGTGAATTTAAAGGTCCTTTTACAGGATTGCCAACCACTTGGATTTGCTCTTCTGTGAACGTCATCTTCCTATCTTTTGTACATTTTTCAATGTTTTCTTAGAAATTTAAGAATTCTACTGGCTTTATGGTTTATTTGGTAATAAAGTTTTTTTTTTTCCAAAATAATTTGTCTACTTTCTTTTATTGCTTCTGTATTATCAGTCTTGGTTAAGGAGGATTGTACATGAAGTTTCCTCTTAAATGATTTTCATTGTGGCAATTTTTAATTTTAGGTTGTTTATAATCTCTTGGAATTTAATTTTTGTATATGATGCAAGTTTTCCTTTCTTACAGACAAATATTCAGTCATGTCCAATACTATTCATTAAATAAGCCAATTTTTTCCGAGTTTAAATATACCAAATTATTTTTTATGCTGGGACATGTTTCTCAATTATCTTATGCTACTGATACAGCTATCTACTTTAACTTAAACAATTCTTGTTTTGATTATAGTTTTATAATGTGTTCTATTGTCTAGTGATGCAAGTTTCCTACTATTACTATACAAAAATTGTTTTTTCTGGCTCCTTTTGTGAGTTACTTCTACTGTATATATTTCACAACAATATTATCCAATTGAAAAAACAAAAATCCTCTCCTGTCCCAAAACTCTTTTTGGATACTAATTTGAATGGCACTGGTTTATGTATTAACTTTAGCAGAAGTGACATTTCTGTGATGGTCTATCTTCCCATTAAAGAATATGACATCACTTCCTTTATGTTTATCAGTCTATAGTCAGTCTGACCTAGGAAACTCATTGCCAGGAATCTATTACTTAGAAATGAAACCACTGGAAACATCTCCCTTCACAGTAACACCAAATGGAAAGGAAAGTAGTTACCCATTAATAGGGGGACGGTTAAATAAATTATGGTATATTCTATAAAACAGTAAATGGCCATTAGTAAGTGAATGGCCACTTAACTTTTTATCAGATGATATACAACACCTATTGAAGATCGATTGTATGATCACAATTTTGTGCAATAATGATCACCTTCATCCCCATATATATCAATGTAAATTAGCATGGAAAATATAACTTAAATTCTCATTACTTACAGGGGTGACGGCAAGAAGGCCAATACAAATGGATAGAATGGGGAGGAAGGGAGGAAGAGCATAAAGAAAAAGAAAACAAAGTCTGCCTTAAACATCAAAATTAAAACAATAAACTTGGTATGTTGTACATTCATGTATTTAAAATTACATGTGTATGTAAGTAAAAAAGACAGGTCAGCTTTTATTTTTGTAACTGCACAATACTAACTGTTAGATCACACTTCAATTCATTTATAGATAAACGAAAATAGAAACGGAAAAATGACCTCTGCATCTGAACTCATCCAAGGCCTAGAATAGTGACACATCTTACCTCTCCTCTACGGTTGTTCCACTGACAGATATTTCTGTCTCCTGAACCCCCTTAAAAACAAGAAAAGTATCTTTCGCCTTGTCTGTGAGATACTCCACAATAACTCTCTTAAGGAAGATGCTAAACTAGCTGTCTTTATCTTCCATCACAAATAAAGTTTCCAGAACTTTTTAGAGCAGAAAATCTTTTTCATAGGTAAGTTATGCTGGAAGCATATCATCTTTCAGGTAAACTGGAAATTAACTTTCACAGCAGAAAATATAAGGCATAACAATTTTTAAGAAAGAAAGAGAATGAATTCTTCTTGATCAGGAGAGAGAAAAGAAAGGCTCAACCAAGTATCTATAATGTTCATGTACGTAGGACTATTTAGCAAAATTCAGAAATTACAAAAAATTATCAATGAAATTAGGACATGCCCAAGCACTTTTTAAAAAGTTAAAAATCTTAAATGTGTAAATACGGTAATTTTAGTGTGTATTACATTACAGTAATATAAATGATTTTAATTTGTTACACAGAATTTTTCAAAAATCATCACTATGCCAACACGTGAAATATTTGGGAACACATGTCATAGAGTTCAGCCTCATATAAATTATGGCAGTTAATTCTAGGGTTATTAGTAAGATGAATAAGAAAAAAAAATTTCCTGCTAAAACCAGGACTTACCTTCCTTCCATATTTAGGATACACACCAGTTCGTCCTCAAAAAATATCTCTGGTCCCTCAAGATTCTCAATGTCGCTAAAACCATTACAAGGGACCTACGAAGAAGACACACACAAACAGGCCTCAGTAATGAGGTGTAATGTCGTCGTCACTTTCACACACAAATCTGCAGTGCAAACAAAGATGCTCATTTTCACAGAAGTGGTTACAGCTATCCTACACAGTACCTTGCACCACCCACCATGAGCCGTAAGTACATGCAGAGTAACAAAAATCTGTTCAGGTCTTATTGAGAGTTGTAAATTAATTACATTTTCATAGACTGGAATTTCTGCAACTGGTAACTCAGAGCTCTAATGTGAAGAAAAAGAGCCCCAAAGATTAGAAAAAAAAAATCTCATAATTCATAAGTATTTTATGCAGTTAATGTACTCAACTAGGAAGGGAAGGCTAGAGAGAGGAGTCTAGTGCTCTGGGCAAGTCACTTAACCCACTGGGCATGTTTTCTCCTCTATAAATTGAGGTGGTACCAATGAGCTTTAAGGTATTCTCAGTTTAAAATTCTATTCTCTCACTTTTCTTTTTGAAAGCAGCCAGGAAATTGTGCATCAACCTGGGTGCATGCAGAGAACACAGGGACTACAAGGGTCCTGGGCCCAAGTAATCACCCACCCACAGATCAGTTTTAAGGGTACTCCTGCTATGTTCAAAATCCTTGACATACTTCTAATTGGTGGTACAGGGAAAGAGGGAGCTAAGGAAAAAACACAACAATTCATCATTATTAGACAAAGGCTCGGGTTGTTGAAACTGCACACAAAACCAGGTGGACCAACTGTAGAGGCTGCAAGGTAAGTAGCCCATGACCAAGTGCATCGCACACACCCAGCTGTCAAATACATATGTGTACAAACACATTTATGCCCTTAAAAACTGTGTTTACAAATACTTTTAGTTATGGCACGGTTTATCCAGAGGAGAGGGTAAATGTCCATTCTAACATTAACAAACATTTATTTATAGAAATGAATTACACTAGGGAATACCTAATTTTATTCTCCATAAGAGAATAAGGTCAGATTTGTCCAATGTCCACATTTTCCCTTCCAAAACGTGAGAAACCTTGAAAAATTTCAAATATATGAACTCCATTGAGTAATAATGAAAATTAGAAAACAGGAATTAATGTTCAGTAAACCAAGATAATAAAATAAATCAGACTGGCTCTACTTCTAGACTCCCAATCAGAAAAAAATTTAAAATATTAGTCTGGACTATTTTCCAGAGTTACAGAAAATTAAGAATCAGGACCTGGTAACAGAAACTGCTGTGGCACTTGGCAGAAAGGGAAGAACAAAAACAAACCCCCAAAACCAATGCATTTCAACAATATCTAGATTTAAAAAAGACACAAAACTTTTCAGGGATAATGAGTGCAAGATAATTTCACTGAGGGAGTAATCATTCTCATTTAGAGACAGCTTTATAAATCCTCTGTTATCTTAAAAAAAGCACACGACTAACTAGAACCTGCAAATCTTACTAATTTTGGGCAACCCTTCTAGGAAAACAACTGGGCGAAATCTGTAGTGTTCAATCACTGATGAGCTCCCAAATCATGTGGAGGTTGCAAAAAAAAAAAACCACATTTAACTAACTTGAAGAGAAATAATTCACTTGAAGAGAAATAATGCTGATCTGGATTCTCTCCACATTGTGCTACATGCAGGTCCCTCCCTCCCCGTCCACCCCCATTCTCTCTGGCTTTAGAAAAGTAAAGCTGGCAGGGACAAATGGCTTCATGTTGTCGTAGAGGAGGAAAAGGACACAATGACTCTTGCAGCCATCTATGAGAGTAAGGGATTGTGAGAGCATTGAAAAGGGAGATATCAAAAAGATGTGGGGTGAGCTAATGCCTACAGACCCAGACACACACACCACTACCAAGGCAAAACAACTGCATCAACAGATCCTTACGTGCTCTGAAAAGAACCTCTTTGAGAATGAGGCTACAATCTTCCGGGCTTCTAACCCAGCTTTTTGCCGAACTTTATATTCTTCCAACCAATTGACGTAGTCGGTGGGGCTGTAGTGTTTCATAAGGGAAGGCCACCTACAAGGAGAGAAACACGCCCTCAGCTTCGCAGAGGCTCAAAGGCAGCTTTGGAAAAAAACAGGGAAAGCGGTACGGTTTAGTGCTAAGAGGGGCCCTGGCGATGGACCGAGTTCAAACGTCCACCCGGCACGCCACGCACTCGCTCACAGCGTGACCTTGGCGTAGCAGCAGGAATGCTGTGCCCCCACTCCCCATCTATCAAATGGGGACAGTTGTAACAGCAATAATAGTGACGACAGTGACAGTTACTACATACTGCGCGCCTCTCAAGAACCGGGCCCTGTGTAAATGTTCCCTACACACTATCTCATTTAATAACCACCGTAAAAGGCAGGTCTAATTACAACCGCTTAAAGTCGGTGAATGAGGCTCAAAAAAGGGAGCTCGCTACCCGCAAGGTCACACGGCGAGAATGCCAGGGCCAGATTATTTTTATCCCGGGTCCCACACCGAAATCGGCGCTCGCGGCCGACAACCGGGGATGCTGCGCCCGCTCCCTCGAAGGGCTGTGAGGCGCCCTGCATCGCCGGATCCGCGTAAACATTTTACCACAGAGTCGGGCACAAAAGAGGCGCGCAGAATGGATTAGCGGCGATACTACCGAATGCTGGACGCTTCCCGATGCGCAATTCGGGGACCGGCGGATCGGCGCGGCGTGGACCCGAGGGGCCGGGGCGCCGGCGGCCTGGAGGCCTTTGTCTGTCGGTCCGGGAGTGGGATGCGGGGCTGAGGTCCGCGCACGCGGCCGGAGGCGGCGGCCGGCCGGGTCCGGTCCGGGGACGCAGAACGGGGGCGCGGGCGGCCGGGGGCGCCTGGCTCACCTCACCCGGAACTGCTCCTTCCACACCTTCCCGCTGCTCTGGCACAGCTCGCGCAGCCGCCGGCAGGTGCTGGAAATGCGGCCGATGTCGGCGGCCGTCAGCGAGCCGCTGCACAGGATGTACTCCAGCACCTCGCCCGGCAGGCTGACGAGACAGCTGAGGCCCGGCGCCTCGGACGCGGCCTCCTCCGCCAGCGCCGGCACCACCTCCATCGCGCAGTCCATCCCCGCCACCGCCGCCGCCATCTTGCCCGCGTACCTGTGGCCGTCGCTCGCGCGCGCGCGCGCCGGGATACCCCGCTTCGCCCCGCCCCGCCCACCCCTAGAGGGTCGGGCGCAAAGACTCGCCCCGCCTACGCCCGTAGCCACACCCCCTCGGTCCCGGCTGCTGGCAAAGGATGAGCTCCGGGGCCAGGGGAAGAAAATGCCTTTTGGATGGCAACTGTACTGTGGCCCTCTAAACCGGGAACCGACAGGAAGAGGAGCATCCATTTTACCTGTGTATGCAGAACGTTTCCCATGCCTGAATTTATCGGACCTTTGAAGGTCCTATGAACTATTATTCTACCCAAGTTACAGATGAGGGACCTGCGGTTCAGGGAGGATGAAAGGACTTGTCAAATCTCTTGTCTTAGATTCTAATCCAGATCCACTTGACTTCTGCTTGACTATGCTGTGAGCCATTTTGCTATGATAGTAGCAAACAATATTGAGTGGGTGCTGGACACTACATACATTCTTCAAGGACTCCTTGCATAATAGGTACCAGAATTGTACCCATTCTACAGATAAGGAAAACAAGGCTTCTAAATATGGAAATAATTGATTCAAAGCCACAGGCAGAAAAAGTGGTAGCACCTGGGTTTGAACCCTCTAAGCAGGAGTTATCACTCACATGTGGTAGGCATCCTTTTTGTGCCTGTGCCTTTTTTCTAACCCAGTTCAGTTCAGTGCCAGGCCCTATGCTATGTGCCCTGGGGATACAGAAGTAAGTGAGATGGTGTCCTTGCTTCCCAGGGCCTCAAAGTCCAGGACGGGGCAGGGGGGACATGCTGGTGTAGAACGATCTGTTGTCAGTACATGGTGACTCAGGAAAGTGCCCTCTCCCAGACACCGTGGAAATCAGGTTGCCCTGAGATCGTTGTAGTAAAGATCAATGGAGATGTTGATGTTTAGGAAGTAGATAGAGGTGGTTGTCCAACATCGTGAATGTACTAGTTACCACTAAATAGTTCGCTTTAAAACATTTAATTTTATGTATGTGAATTTCACCTCAATAAATTTGTTTAAAAGTGTGTTACTGCTTGCATTAGTTTGTTATGGCACAGAATGAGTGGCTTAAACAACAGAATAATTTTTCATGGTCCTAGAGGCTGGAAGTCCAAGATCGAGGTGTGGGCAAGGGTGGTTGGTATCTTCTGAGACCTCTGTCCTTGGCTTGTGGCTGTCATCTCTCTGTGTTCACACAGTCTTCTGTGCATGTGTCTGTGTTCAAATTGTGGGACCCCTGGAAGGTTAATATGGCCCCCCATTTTGTGTCCTCCATCTTGAATAACTATGACCCCCTGCCTCCATTTTGTGTCCTCCATCTTGAATAACTATGACCCCCCCTGCCGCCATTTTGTGTCCTCCATCTTGAATAACTATGACCCCCTGCCTCCATTTTGTGTCCTCCATCTTGAATAACTATGACCCCTGCCTCCATTTTGTGTCCTCCATCTTGAATAACTATGATCCCCTGCTTCCATTTTGTGTCCATCATCTTGAATAACTATGACCCCCTGCCTCCATTTTGTGTCCTCCATCTTGAATAACTATGACCCCCCCTGCCTCCATTTTGTGTCCTCCATCTTGAATAACTATGACCCCCCCCTGCCTCCATTTTGTGTCCTCCATCTTGAATAACTATGTCCCCTACATGACCCCTAGCCAACCGGACTGCCTCCATTTTGTTCTGTGTCCTCCATCTTGAGTAAGAAGTTTCCCACTCAAGCCACGCCCATTCCCATGGAAACCATGCCCAATAACCTGTGCACCAAGACCCTGACCCTCCTCAGCCAATCAGCTAAGGTCACAATAAACCACGCCCCTTGGAAAGCCCCTACCTGTTTTCCAAAAGTATAAAAGCAAAAAAAGGGAACTTTATTCAGGTTCTCAGGAGTCCTGTGTTCTGACGGGTCACTGAGACCCTAGCTCAAGCTAGCAGTAAAGACCTGTTTTGCTCTTGCATCTCGTGACTGAGCCTGGTGACTGCGGCCCCACACGGGGGACTCAAGGAAACGGGGCACAACAAAATGTCCTCTTAAAAGGACAGTATTGGACTAGGTGCCGTCCAAATGACCTTGTTTTAACTTAATGACCTCTTGAAAGGCCCTATCTCCAAATACAGTCACATTCTGAGGTCCTGGAGTTCAAGGCTTCAACATAGGAATGGCCTGGGGGGTGGGGAAGACACACAGTTGCTGCTGTTTCTTCTACAGTCATTAAAACAAAAAGGTTTAAAGTTGCCCCTGGAGTCTGGCAGGTCTGGGATAGAGTCTGGACCTTCATGCCTCTAAATTCAGTGAAGTTTCCTGGCCAGTTCTTGCCTCCACCCTCCCCCAGCCCCCACCCCCACCCCCAGCCACAGTGGCAGACACTGTTACCTTCTTACCTTGGCTTCTGTGGCCCCACCCTCTTCCTGGGTTCCCCTCCAGGGCTGCCCCTTTTCAGTGTCCTTTCTGTCTCACCCAAATAAATGGTGCGTGTGCTGTACCTCGGGCTCAGCCATAGGCCCTGTCTTTCACTTTCTCACCCCATCTACAACTTGAATGACCATCTTCTAAACTCACTTTAAACATCCACATTTCTCTCTCAAGCCCAGTCTGCACCTCTGAGATCTAGATTCACTTAAACAACTGCTCACCTGAATTCCCTTTGGGCTCTGAAAAGCCAGTTTATCCTGCAGAGGACATCCCTCCACCTTGTCCTCTCCTAATAGCTTCTGCCTTCAGAAAGGCCACCCAGCCATCCATTCCTGCAAGACCAGAACTTGTAGCCATCCTTGACACCTTTCTCCCCTTCACCATCCATATCCAAATGCCCAATGAGATTAGCTACCCTGTACCTCAGTTACCTCATCTATAAAATGGGGATAACAATAGATCTTCCTATGAAATGAAACAATAGACATACATCAACTACTATTGCTGCTTAACAAATAAATCCAAAGCTTAGCAGTTTGAAACAAATGTGTTTTGGGGCTCTTAATAGCCCCAGGAAATGGGGAAGGGCTAAAGTGGGCAGCTCTGAACTGGAATCAGGTGGTGGCTCCAGATTCCATGCTGTCAATCACGATACACACTTACCTCTGTCAGATCCCACAGGGCCTGGAAAAGGGTTGGAATTTTATCTTAAGTGTGTGGGAAACACTATCCATATTCAAATGCCCAAACAGGGGTTATGTTCTCTGTGCCTCAGTTTCTTCTTTTTGAGACAATGGGTGGGGTAGCAATTTTCTTTTCTAAAAGATCATTGCTAATATTTCTCCAATCTGTCTCCTTTTTTTTCCTGTTTCCTCAGCCACTGTCCCAATCCATTTTCCCCACTGTGGCTCCCAAATGTTTCCCTGGCTTTCCACCCTGGCCCTGAGAACATGAAAATCAGTCCCGATAACACTCAGACCTTGAAAAACATTTCCAACCCATTAGTTGGAAGGCAGACCCCACAGCGGCACAGATGGTCAGTAAGTCATTCTTAGGAATAACTATTTCTTTCTTATCAAAGACATTCTGCTCTCCTTCTTTCTTCCTGTCTTCTGATCAAAGATGACCAAGATACTGTTGGGGAAAAAAAATTAAATTTCCTGCCAATGCAGAAAAACCTCACAATTCTGCAAAAGAGCAGTTTTACATTCAACCAGCCTTAAGGCACCACCATACTGGTCATCTACTAATGAACTGACAAAGTCAGAAAGAAATCCCCCCCTTTTCACATACAGGCAAGCACTGTGTTACATACCTGCTCTCAAGATTAATGGTAACTTGTCCTAAGGAAAGAGGACCTGACTACATCTTTCTTGGTTCATCTGAAGCCCACCTGGTAATTGGGGTACACGTTGTGCTAGCTAATTGCCTTCACCTCAAGGAATAAAAAAACTTCTCATCTTGATGACCAGCAGATGGTTACAGCTTGGAACGCAATGTGCTTTGGCCAAACTCCCACAGTCACAGGGAGAGAGGGACACTATCTTCATTGATGTTTACATTTCAAAGAGATGGTTCCCAGGCTGGTAAGAAAAACATCCCTTGTAATACTGCAAGAGGCTTATTTAGCCTTAAAAAAAATTTGCAAGAAAAAAAAATGTGCAAGATGTAATATATATGAGCAATGGACTATTAGTCAGCCATGAAAAAGGAGTGCAGCACTGGTACATGGGACAACATGGATAAAACTTGAGAACATTATGCCAAGTGAAATAAGCCAGATACAAAAAGTCACATATTATATAATTCCATCTACACAAAATGTCCACAGTAGACAAATTTATAGAGACAGAATGTAGATTAAAGGTTACCAGGGGCCAGGAGGAGGGAGGTAATGGGGAATTATTGCTTCACAGGGCTGAGTTTCTATTTGGAGTGATGAAAAATGCTCTGGAAAGAGATAGCGGTAATGGTTACACAACATTGCAAATGTCTTTAATGCCACTGGATTGTATACTCAACAATCTTTAAATAGTAAATTTTCTGTTATGTCTAGTTTACCATAATAAAAAGAATAGCACCCACAAAAAAAGATTTGCTGACCTATCAAAGAGATAAGAAAGATTTACAGGTATAGGAAATGCACTAAGAAAAGAAGGGTCTCTTTCTGATTTGGCAACAGGCAAAATTCTGTTTTGAAATTTGCTCTCCAATACCTGATTGTATTCAACAGAGAGCTAGTCTTTACCACCCCAGTTCCTGCCTAAAATCTCTAAGCACAAGCCCTAATACCAGATGAATCCCCCTCCTGGCCCCAACCTTTGTGGCCCTCCAGAGGTCCTCCAAGGTGCCCTCTCCCTGGAGCAAGCTAATGAACCTATCTTTGTGGACAATCAGTCTATTTTTGGTTATCGTTGGCTGGAGGACTTCAACATTCTTATCCCAAGAGATCTCTACAACTTCGCTGGAGAGACCATTTCAACAGCTTCAGTGGCTTGTTCTCAAGATAAATACACCCATTCTCTCCCTTTTGGTCCAACACCCCAGACTTTCCTGCCCACGGGAGGATCTTCCTAATTTAGTTTTGTTTTCCTGGAGT